TCCCTCTCCCTCTCTCAGTGCTTTCCTTCTAACACCCTGGTGGTATTCTCCAAAATAATGTTTGCTCTTCTTTCACAAAGATAGTAGTAAAGGACTATTTATTAATTGTTTACTATGTGGAAGACAATTTCCTAGGCACTATGATCAAAGGTAATTAAGGGCCCTTCTCTGGTGAGAGAGAAACAATATATAAATAAAGTAGTTAGAGGGCCCCACACACATGAGTATTAAGGTGGCAAGACAAGGGGAATGCTGTAGGGTTGGTGGGGACAGTAATTGCAGGGTCATCATGGCCTTCCCCTCTGGGGAAGTAACTCCTGAGCACTTGATCTAAAGATCCAGGAGCCACGTAGAGGAAGATGGAGGGAGAAGTGTTCTAGGCAAGGAAGCAGCAGGAAAAATGATGTCTTCCAAGCCCTTGCTCCCTTTAGGACTGAGTGAGTGTCCCTAAAGTTTATCATCTGGTTCAGTGGTTCTAGACCCTGGGAGCATGATAGAATCATCTGAAATCTTTTAAAAATACAGATGCCTGGGCCCTACCACAGAGCCATCAAGTTGGATTCTCCAGCACTGGGGAGGGAAGCACCTGGATATCTATTTTATAAGTCCCCGTATGATTGCAATGTGCAGCCCAAATTGAGACCCACTGGCCTACAGCAGTGCTTTCCAAAGATTAGCATGAATAGACTACATGGGATTCTTTCTAAAATGCAGATTCTGATTCACTAGACCTGGGGTGGGACCAAGGTGATGTGGTGGTTCCCTGGTGATGCCAACGCTGCTGAGCCAGGTGCTCCTCCAAGTGTGGTGCATGGACCAGAAGTGTCAGTATTCACGTGGGAGCTTGTTAGAAAAGCACATTCTCAGTCAGAGTATCAGAAATCAGGCGATTCATTCACCGTTTGAATAAGAAACACTGAGGTGTGGTCTAGCCTTCTGTGATTTAAGAAGGTCTTTCAGATGATGCTGAGACCCACTTAAGTTTGAGAATCAGACTGTGTCTTGGTGTTTAGACAAAGTCAATTTGGTACCTAATTGTGTTCCAGGTTGTGTTTTCTGTAATCGTTTCATGTAGACAGCTCTGTTGAAGCTTCTCAAGCACCTACATTGGCCTGAGAGTGTGAAGCCACACTGCTCCTTTCCTTTCACTCAGTTCCCATGCAGAGAAAATTCTCTTTCGTTGTGATTAAAAGAGGAAAAGGTGCAGCCCTAGTTCCAGATTTCAGCTCCTGCCTCCCAAGTTCCATTGTTCAGCTTGCAAGGCTTCAGGAGCTTGCAAATCCCTGCAGGTGATGCTCCACAGTTGTGGGTGTCACCTGCAAGGATGTGATTTATTAAAAGCCCTGCTGGGGCAGTTTAATCCCTGAGAAGGGATATTGTAACTCACCTCTAACTGCTGCCCTATCCAAAAATATCACCCTCTGTACTGCTTCTCTTTGTTTACAAGCTTCCATTAACGGTTTTCCCTCCATTAGGCAGCTCAGGGGAGTGCTATTTAGAGAACTAATTGAATTCTTGCCAGTTTTGGGAATGATCCAAAGCTGCTCCAAATCTCCATATTTTCTATTATGTGTTTTCCTCTCATCTAACATGTGTACAGTTTTGATACCTCTATCTGTAGAATATAAACTAGAAATTATAACTCTCTACATGAATGCATGTTATGAATATGGCAGGCGAAGAATAAAAATAATCTTTTGAACTAAGTTGAAACTGAATAGGCATAGTTTTTAAATCCTCCAAAAGAATCAATATATTTTAATTTTAGCAATTGTACTATTTGTGAGATTAATTTGATAATGAAGAAACAATTCACTTTTACTCTTCACCAACTCTACCACCAGGCCCACTCCACAAACACCAAACTTGAATAGTCCCCTTTTCTAATCATTGAAAAGATTATGAGCAGAACATTAGCACTCTTGGTACTTACAAAATAATTTTTTTCTGGCCATTAGCAATTAATTATCTACCAGACTGAATTAGGCTAATCATCAAAGGAGGAATTTGTGGAAATGCATCTGATCATGGGTGATAATGTGCTGAAAGGCTAAAGAGGAAGGGTTGGCAAATAAGTAAATAGGTAAATAAATATCATTATAATGGAAAAGACCAGAAATTATGAAAAGGAAACTTATTTCTTTTGCATTTTGAAAAATCTTCTCAATATGAGTCAAGCTAAAATTTATATGGTTTTGGGGTGTGTGATGCATGAAGCATTAGACCCAGTTGCTAGAGGTGCTCCACGGTGGAGTCTAATGTAGCTCCTCATACATCTGCATGCATTTTTAGACTCAGGAGCATGTTTTTATTCCCTAGTTACAGATTCCTCTAGATTGCTCTTGTGGAAATTTCTGGGGCATTATAATGCTATATTTCAGATCTTGCCTCTCCTCTAATACTTCTGTAATACACTTGTTTTCCTCAAAATCGACCTGCTCCTCTCTGGTTCCTCCATTTCTATCATTGTCCATATTTTAGGTTCTGGGCTGCAGGCATGTTTGCTCTTCTGTTCTTTTTATCTTTTTCCAACTGTCATTCATTCGAAAGTGTTAAGTATCTGAGATGAGTGGCATCATCTTGCACAGAATTATACTTGGGCCATAAAATATTCCAGAGCTGAGACCTCCGAACATCTGCCTGGGATACTTAGCAAACGTAAACGTTCTCCGTCGTTTCCTTTCGCAGTCTGTGGAGATGAGTGCACGGGCCTTCTTCTCGGGGACCTGGAGCACCTGGAGCAGGTGGTGACGAGCGTCAACCTCACAGGCCCGCTTCCTGCTCCATACAGGATGCTGTACAGTCTGGAAAATACGACTCAGGAACTAAAGGTAGGTTGGAGCCGCGGCAGCAAGAGCCAAGGAAAAGAGGACAGGAGTTTCTTTATAATTAGTCAGTGTTCTTCCTGTTACCTCAGATCAAGGCAAGCAGCTGTTAGGGAAATTCAGAGGCTGCCTTAACCAGTGTTTTTCAAACGTAAGAACTAGAATATATAGATTACAATTAAGGAAAAGAGGCCCATGTTCCCCCAGTGTTTGGCTTAAATTACTTTTATTTTATTACTTAAATATGTGCAAACATAAAATCAGGTATGAACTCCTTATACTTATAGCTCCATAAAATCAAAACACATTAATTCTTACAAAAGCCTAAAGAAAAACACAATAAAATTCAAATTAAAAACATTAATATAAAATAACCGATAATTGTTACTAAAAGCAAGTTGCTGCTTGCAACAAGTTTATGATAGGGATTGCTTCCACACAGGCTCTTTCATCAGCACATGCCATGTAGGAACCACTGCTCCCTCCCACCTTTCCACAATTTGAACTAGAGAGCCCCTTGCAAGGGGCCCTGAAATGGTATTTGGCATCACTTGACAAGTTTGAATGATTAATGTGCACAGTCTGCCATGTGATCGAGCATGAATGCAGATGAAGGGGCTGAGACTGGGTGGCTTTTCATCTCTCAGGAGCCCAGCCTGGGTTCTAGAAACCCTTACATTAACATTTCAGTTTCTTGTCAAAATGAAAACACAAGATTAAAATTTTGTGCTAGAGAACAGGTAGGCCTCTGAAAATACTTCAATAAGAACTAATTTGAGAAACACTATTTAAAAAAAAAAAAAATCGATAACACTTTCAGTATTTAAAGGGATAGGAGAAAGAAAATGTTAAGGAAATTGGGGTTCATCTGATGGAAAAAGATGAATGAAAAGTGACTACATACACACTTTTGGTCAGTTATCAGATATGAAGAAATTCTGGAGCTCCCAGTACTGCGCTTGGTTCCCTGGGGTTTTCATGACTGTGTAATGCAGTTATTACCCTCAGGAAGCTTAGAGTCTATGGTTAAAAAAAACACAGTATAATGAAACAGCAAAAGTACATAATATGTGCTTTATACAAATTTAACATACAATAGAGTACAAAGATTGGCGAAATGGATAAGATTCAGAGTAACCAGGAAATGTATTATTAATGAGAATGTAATTTGTGCTGGAAATTAAAGCATAGACATAATTTTAATAGGCAGAGAAATATTGATGAGAACTGGAGGAAGAAATCTAAGATTCATTTACTAAGCACTGGCAGACACTCTTTTAGAGAATGTACTTTTTAATTCGGATCATGGCCTTTAAGGTAAATATCATCCCTATTCTCCAGAAGAAGAAAGCAGTAACGATGAGAGCAAGAATAACTGACATTCATTGACAAATATCTCTTGCTAGGCAACTGACCAGTCTTACACAAACTATTATACATAAATCTTAAAGAAACTCTAAGAAGTAGGAAAGGAGTACTTCATCATCTACATTTTCTTCAGGGAGGGAAACTGAGGCACGGAGAAGTTACATGTGACACCCAAGGTCGTATGGCCAGTCGCTGTAGAGCTGGGATTTGAATAGAAGCAGTATTACTTTAGGGCCTGTGGGGATGAAGCCACCTTTGCAAATCTCAGAGAGAGAAAATAACTTGTCTGGGAGGACTCCGTCTGCCATAAGGGAGGTCATTCCAACTCCAGGCCCTTACATACCCTTGCCACCTAATTTAACAGAGTGGTATAAGCAAAGGCAGGTGTGAATTAGCAAGGCCTGTCTGACAGACATTAGCAGTCAGGCCTGCTAGTAAAAGATAGTGCTTAAGACTTGAGTGGGGCAGGGTGATATGAAGGACAACCTTGAAGCCAGGCGGAGGGACCTGTGTTTTAAATGGGAAGAGTTTTAACAGAGAAGATGCTGACCAGTTATTTTCATTTTACATGGAGTGAATACAAAGAAAGGAAATTAAACTGGAAAAGCAAATCCATCTATATTTTTTAAATAATACATAAGCAATGGATGAAGTACTCAAGGCTTTAATCTCTGGGCATTATCTAAACCACAGGACTTAGTCACCTACTTCCTTAAGGCTGGGTGTGGGTCCAAATGTCTTTGTTTTTCTTAAGTTCCAGTCTTTCTTGGTTCTGTGTTTGTGTTCTTCTGCCATAATTCATTTAATGTCTGGATACTTGGGATTCCATTTTGATATTTTTAAACCTTAAGCGAGTTAGTTACCCTCTTTGTTTAGTTCCTTTAACTGTGTTAATGCTCCCTGGGTACCAGCCAGAGACTACCAGGAACACACATGTGATGGTCCGGACTTGGGTTTGCTAACTCTCTCCAACAAGGGACACTGCACACCATGGCGAATTTGGGGTGTCGCAATAAGAAGGCATTGGGATAACTTATTAGTATTAGGGTTTGTGCGAGGCAATTTGGCTCAGGTTCAAGGAAGTGGGACTTTGTGCTGGATTGGGTGCTATTGGGGGGGGGAGTAACCCCATAATTGAGTGTTCTAATCAATCTTACCTAGAAGGAGGGAAGAGCAAAGGCAGGCTAAAGCTGCAATTAGGAAGGAGGCAGTGGTCACTCACATCAGCTAGAAAGTGGGACCTGGGTACTTTTGTGGCCTGCACAGAGACACGGTTTTTTGTCTGTGCTTAGACAAGATTATGGAGTGGTCTTATTTTGTTTCATTCATCACTGTCACAGAGTGCCCCTGTCTAATGTCAGTGTCCTGTGAGATTGATTATGTTCAACAGGAAAATAAAATGGCCTCTCTGCGAGAGCCAGGCCAGCTCCTACCAACATTCAGGTCAGGCCATTTAGCTAGTGCCTGGCCAGTGCCCTCAGTCAAGGACTCCGGTCCCCTCTGTAACCTGTCATTGGAACCTCAGTTCATTGAAATGTGAGCCTTAAAGAATCAGCCTTCATCTTGACTTTCCCCTTTACTGGCTGTGTGATCTTGCATAAGTTTTTAGCTCTCTTCAAGCCACAGTTTCCTTATACACAAAATGGAATAACATTTATCTTATAGAACTGTCATAAGAATTTAGTGGAAAAAAAAAAAAAAAAAAAGCCTGGAACATAGTAATTTCTCAGCAAATTACTTCAGTTTGTAGTGTTTGCCAGAATACTCCGCACATATACATGCCCAATGGAAATGGGTTCTTTCTCTTTTCTTCGAAGGTGAGAAGGCTAAGTTTTTTGTATATAAAGGAAAAATGTGTTCTGTTGTAAAATGTTAAAGCGTTTTATGATCACTGCAAAAGCGTTTACTGAATGAAATAACTAAATGAATGAAATCTTTTTCAGCACTTGCTCTCCCCCCAGAGGGCGCCAGAGAGGCTCGTTCAGTTGGCAGAGGGCAATCTGAACACACTTGTGACAGAAATGAATGAGCTTCTGACCAGGGTAAGTTGGCAAAATCCTAAATCTTCTTAAAGCAGATAGGTCATGTAAATTAAGGAAAATTACTTCAAATTTCTGAAATGCAAATCTTGTTCTTCTGCGTTTCCATTTTGGTGCGCGAAATAGATGTATTTTTGATTTGCTACTACTGCCTCAAATAACATCTGAGAACCAAGAACCCCAAAAATGTTAGGTACTTGTGAGGAGTCGAGAACAATTGCTAAAAATACCAGAATGACAGTATTATTTTGAAAACTCTATGTAGTAGCCTCCATGGTAAAGTTTTTATCAATTCTGAATTTCAAAAGCAGTGTCTTTGCCGATGTAAGGAAAAAAGAAAAACAAATGAAAATACTTGTAGTCTCTTTGATCTCCGAATGGGATTTTTGCATTTGTATAGAAATGCAGTCTATATCAGTATTCCCACACAAAAGAGAAAATCTTCTTTATTATGAAAATTCAATGCATTTAAGACACTTCTTAGAATCACAATGTAAAGTCCCTGTTGCACTTATCAGACTTTTTAAGAAATTGGGAGTTTTAAATTTTCAAAACTGCTAGAGGGTTAAGGTTCTTTTGTTGGTAGAGAATAAATAAAACATAAAGTTCGCCATCTTGTGGCCAGAAAAATACATGAACAAGAAAACTGGCCTGTAATTGAGGGATCCAGTTTGGTTATCTACAAGCTTTAAATGACAAAGAATATTGCTGCAAGAAGGTTCTTACAGATTAGTCCACATTTTCTAAAGATGAGATACCTCAGGCCATAGAGTGAGGTGAATTATTAATGGTCATACAGTTCTCTAAACCCAGGGACCCGAGTGGGCCCAGTCCCCAGGTTCCCACTGACCCAGTGCTGTTTCCATCTCAGCTGACGTTGGTTAGGGAAATTTCCACAGGGAAATCAAATGGGCTCCTAAATGCAGAATACTAAACAATGGCCCTGATGTTACAAATAGCATACTAAACGCTTTCTCATAATCTCACACCAGCAATGTGGAATGCACAAATGCAAAATAGAGTTTCTTGCCAAATGTAGTTAGACATTAATTAGAATAATGAGTACATTTATCTCATATTAACTTAATATTTAATGATTTTGTATTTGTTATATGGATACAACTAAATAAGAAATTTTAAACAGATCATAGCAGAGCAAACTCAATGCAACAAGCACATACGAATATTCACCACATACAAAGCCCAAGCTGCGTGTTGGCAGATGAAAGATACAAATAAGGCTCAGTCTTGTTCTTCAAGGAGCTTGCAATGTCCCGTGTGTGTGTGTGTGTGTGTGTGTGTGTGTGTGTGTGTGTGTTGTGTACAAAAGCAGTTAGGTATGTGAGACAACTGCAAGTAAATATACAATACAACTTCAAGTAAAATAATGTGCCTGAGAAACAAATTCATATGGAATAATTTAATCTTGATAAAGGTTATTAGGGAAAATTCTATGGGACAGGTGGCATTTTATTCATTCATTGAATTAATACTTATTGGGGGCCTGCCATGCTCTAGGCACCAAGACAGAATGACAGTGCTGGTGATAGAAACATAAGCAAAACTGACACAATCATTGCCCTCATTGAGCTGATGATCTGAGCATAGAGACACTAGAAATATTTCACTAGGAGAATCAGATCTTCTTATGTCTTAGCCTTCATCCTTGCATCTTTCCAGCAGACTCTCCCAGACTAAATTTTTAAAAACAGACTGTTTTAGAGAAGTTTAAGATTTGAAGCAAAATTGATTGTAAAATGCCAAAAGCTCTCACATGTCCCCTGACCCTACACAAGCATAGTCTCCTCGTTGTCAACCTCCCAGAGTGGCACAGTTGTTACAACTGATGAACCTACATTAATAAATCATTATCAACTCGAAGTCCATAGTTTAGGGTTCGCGCTTGGTGGTCTATGGGTTTTGACAAATTTTTGTTGTTGTTGTTTGTTTTTTAAATATATCTTTATTGATTTCAGAGAGAGGAAGGGAGAGAGACATACACATTTTTAATTCTACTGAAGTATAACTCATTATTTCTTTCATGGGTCATACAATACCTTTGGTATTCTATGTAAAAAAAGTCATTGCCATACCCAAAATCATCTAGATTTTCTCCTATGTTATCTTGAAGTTTTATATTTTTTATTTATATAGTTTTGCATTTTACATTTAAGTGCATGATACAATTTGAGTTCATTCCAATGCTTTTTTTTAAATAAACTTTTATTTTAGAATAGTTTTAGATTTACAAAAGAGTTGCAAGGATAGTATGGAAATATCCCATATACCCCACACCATTCCCCCTGCTGTTAACATCTTAGTGTGGTATGTCTGTTATAACAAGTGAACTAATATTGATTCATTATTATCAACTAAAGAATAATTTATTCAGATTTCTTCAGTTTTTACTCCATGACCTTTTATGGTTCCATGATCCCCAGGAGGCTACATTACACTTGGTCATCATGTGTTCTTAGGCTGTGTCCTCCAGACTGTGACAGTTTCTCAGGCTTTCCTTGTTTTTCATGACTTTACCAGTTTTGATAAGTTTGTGTATTTCATAGGCTGTCCCTCAGTTGAGGTGTGTCTCATGTTTGCCTCATGATGAGAATGGCGTTATGGGGGTTTTGTTGGACAAACTGCAGAGGGAAAGTATCACTTTTGTCACATCTTATTAAGAACCCATGTAATCAGCATGCCATCACTGTTCATGTTGATTCTGATCACCTGGCAGAGATACTGTCAAATTACTTTTTTCCCTTTTTCCATATTTCAATACCATTTTTCTTTGTCCATTCTTCAGATTTTATAACACAAAAAGCCTAGATTAAAAGACTGCTGAAAGCAAATATCTCCTTGATGAAGTGAGGAGGAAATGGAAATGTTCACTTATTAATTAACCTTGTCCCTACCACGTTTATAATTGTAAACATAACTGTCGTGGAGACCTTAAATACTCCATTCTTTCTTTCCCTGTGGTCAAGCTGAATGATCATCAAAAGGTGTATTAATACACATGGAATCATAACTAGAAGACTAGGTGACTTAAATATACAATAATATCCCTATAAGACCACTAATACCTTTCTCTCACAGCCATGAATGATCCAGTAGTTGGACCAGAACAGGAGAAGTGCAGTGGCCTCAACTTTCTACTATCTGTAGCTACATAAGGAGACAATTCCTAAAACTAGGACTGTGCATAGGAATTACCTGGTGCCAGGCCTCACCCCCAAAAGTTGTGATATAATTGATCTGAGGTGCAGTATGAGCACTGGGACTTTCGATAGCTCTCCAGATGATTCTGACATGAGGCAAAGTTGAGAACTACTGTGAGCCTCTTGTCATCTGATGGCTCCAGCTCCCTTTCCTCTGGAAAGTGCTTTCACTGGTACAGCCAATCCTTTTGATGCTCCCTTTCTCTGCTTTGTTGGCTGACCAGTTGCTTTAGGACTAATACATTCTTTATATTTCTTAAAGTATTTGGTGAGTCTCTTCCTGCTTCTGATTTGGGAGCTGCCCTCTCCTTCAAATGCTAGTATATTTTGTGCTCATTTTCTTCCATGGAAAAATCTAATTCTTTAATAACCCTTTGTAAAGAAAATAATATTCTCCACAAAATAAACACTTTAACATGTATTTTATATACATTAGTTAATGTGTAAATAGTATATAAGTAAAATATTACATAATCAGATCTCTTTCAATGTATTTTGATTTCTTGTACTTTTATTTCCCCTTTGGAATATAAGTTCCTTAAATCTGAGAATCATATTTAACATATGTAAGCTGTCCTACAATATGTGTGGAATATTGCAATGTTTTTTATGACACTGCATATACCTCTATAGCTACTGCCCTTAGCTCCTTCTTTTGTTTCACAGCCATCTTTTTGGAAAGATTTGGAGATAGGTCTGCATTTCCTTTTCACTCCACTGCACTATAGATTTCCACTCCCAGCATGCTACTAAAACCATTTCTACAAGATAACCAAGTGACAGGCTGGTCACTAAATCCAATGGAATCTTTATTTTATTTGAACTCTTTGTAAAAATTGCCACTTTTAATACTTTCTTTCTTCTTGACATACTCTGTTTTTCTCTTGACTTTCTGGCCTTTCATTCTCAGCCTCTTTTTCTGCCCATCCCTTCAAGTTGGTTTTCTTGAGGTCCAGTCCACAGTCCCCATCTCTGTTCACTCCGTAAGCTCTTTCTTTAGGCTTCAATTACCGTATCTATGCTGATGATTTAAAAATCTGTGTTTTCAAGATAGACTTTATTCTTCTACTTCTGTCCTATGTCCCTAACTACCAACTGGATATCTTAAACTCATTATCTTTGTTTTATATCTCATGCTTCCTCCTGGAGCACCTCAGGGATTTACCCTCTAATATGTCTCCCAAAAGAGGAATCAATGGATTTCCCTTCACTCTACCCTCCTTTTCACCCCCAACCCAATTCATTTCCCTTCTGTGACTTCTCTCTCTGAGCTTTGTTCAACTCCAACCTACTAATGGTCATATGGCAGAGTAGACTTTCTAACTCACAGGCCCGATCATGTCACCCTCCTTCATATTCTATAATGGCTCTTCCTTTGCTTCTTGCTTAACTCCCCAGCCTCATCTCTCCCCCAAATCACTGTCTGGCCACCGGGACACTGATTCATTGAACATATAAGACAGAACCCTGGAAATCCCCGCGGTGCTGTTCTTCCTCATTTTCCCTCCTCTTATCTAACCCATTTCCCAATGCAGTGGGTTCCACTTCCATATGTAGGCCTCAGCTCCACTACCCCACTCCCGTCCACTCTCCAAAGCCTTTAGTTTAGGGTTACCACAATAAACATCTCTTAAATGTTTATTCTATAAGAGGAGAATGTTATTTATGTATTAGACTGAACTATATAAAATATCAAAGTTTAGCTTTATTTACTTTGTCTTTTACTGCCTATGTACAATTTAAAAATCAAATTTAAATGAAGATTAAGCATTTCCAAAATGATGAAATTTGTTTTTAAATGATTTAAGTGCCAACAATATTAGATATTTATAATGCCTTGTTTATAGTTTTTAAAGGTGTATGTTGCCAAGAACTTTTTTAAAATTTCTACTCTTATGCTTTAAAAGAGAGAGAGAGAGAACGTATGACAAATCATGCTTATTTGGTTTGGACCTTTCAAAATTAACACCTGCAATATTTAGGGGGAAATTCCACTTGGAACTGACCCATCATCATTCCACAGGGTCAGCTGGTTGCTCCCTGTCTCTTTGCTTGTGTGTCTCTCCTAGCAACATGCCTGAGGAGTACTTCACTGGCATATACAGAACTGGTAGCAGTTGAAGATAACCCTTGAGGATATCATATAAATGAATAGATCTGAAATTTAATTTTAGTAGGAAACCACATAAGCCTGTAATTGCAAAGGTGGATGGCACCTAAGCAATGCTGTCTATTCAGTAGTTAGATATGCTCCATTAGATTCTAGTTTTAAAATAAAGAAGGCAGAAAATGAGAGACGCTAGTAATATCCAGCCAAGAAAATTATGTGCAGATTTCAAGAGGCACAGTGAGAACTGCTCAAGCTAAAGCAAGAAAGTAACAGCTACATTGTTCAGAAGTAAATTAATCTGTGCCTAATGGTAATGCATGCTGCCTAGATATAAATACTCCAGAAAAAGAAAAGGAAAACATACCTATTTGAGTGATCTTGAATGTAAAGAAAAAAAGGTAATCAAAAGTAAGACAGACGTACAAAGTACTGCATAAGGCATCATTTACAACAGAGCACTAGGAAGATTATAGGACAGAGGTAAGAAGATATGAAAATAAGAAAATCAAAGATAGAGAATGAAAGGAAGATTGTACAACACATTAGGATAAATGAGAAGACATTTGTCAAATACTCAAAAGATAAGGTAATAGGGAATAAGAGGAAGGATGATTTAGGGATGGGGATGGTAATTTAATAAAACACAAGAGGAACCAAACTGGACCAGACAGATAGCCCTATCATGTACTATTTAACAGTCATCTGTAACTTGATCAAAAGCTTATCCTGGGTGAAACTGACTTTTGTGGGTTTCACCTTTTTACAGCGATACCAATATCACCGCTCCCCATAGGTGATAGTGTGCTTGTCATAGGCTTTCTTTATGGAGTCTTTCATGGGTGGTTTTGACAAGGGCAACTCTTCAACTTAATTACTGTGTAATGAGACATGATACTTAAAATACATAACTACATGTTATGATATGGGTTTTTCAATACATTAACTTACTTAACCCTAAAGCTTATGCACATAAAATTGTGCATAAGTTAGAGTAACGTCCCTCCTCTCATTCAGAATGTTCAGTTTTTTCCCGTGTTTTCCTAGTCTTCCTGGATGTTTAATACAGACAGAATATAAAGCTGTGAGACAGAAAACGTGTTTTGTCCTCAATTCCCTATGTATGGAAGATTAGATGAGTCACTTAACCTCTCCAGAGCTTCATTTTCACCAGCATAAAGCTACGGATCCTGCTCTCTATGCATCTATAAAGGCAGAAAGATAACCCGTCTCTTAGACTGGTAATGCTGTAAGTCAGTGCCTTTTGGCACCAGGAACCTCACATCCCTCCTATCCTAGAGAACATCCAAGAGAGGCAGCTCTTGTCTGTGCAGAGGGAAGGTCATCTTCTTCCTCGGTAAGCATGGTGCTGGCCCTGATCAGTCCTGCCCATGCCCAGCCCCTGCCCCCATCCACACCAGCATTGTACTTGGTATGTAATCACAGGCTAGTTTTGAATTACCCTGAAGCCAGTGACTAGGATGCAGTGTGTTGGAAACTGAAGGCTCTCAGGCCTGGCTCTCCTCCTAACCACTGAGCTACAGCCCTGGAGCAACACCTTCCTCTGAGGCTATGAAAAATGCCCAGAAAACTACCCAGCCATCCACATTCACCAACAAGCATAACACCAGGCATATGGCCAGTTTGAATGGTATTGAAAAGGCATATGGTGAGAGGTTTTATTTTCCTTCAACAGGTTTTAGAACATCAAGGGGATAATTGTTTTGATTTTTATCATTATATCAGCCAAGAACCCAACATCTTTCACCTCCTTTTGCCAGACACTATGCCTGGCATTCAGGAATAGAGAGAGGTAGGGCATAGCCCCAGCCCCCAAGGGTAAAGATTAGATCGATATGGCAAAACACATAATAATTACTCAAAATAGTCATGAATGGTGGTCATGGTCATTGTTTTTGAATATCTAAGAAAACAGAGCATGTGCAAAATAGTCAGGGATGGCTTCACAGAGCAGGTAAGGTTGGAACTGAATCTCAAAGGCTGGATTTATTTTGGAGAATTGGAGAGGAGTTAAGGAGCAATCATATGAACAAAAGCTTTTTCCAGCATTGATCATAGAAAGGGAGGCAATAAGGATGGTAATAAGGTTGGCAAGATTAGTTAAGAAAATGTTGTTTAATCAATATATTTAACATTCATTCAATATTTGCTATAAGGTAGACATCATACTAGGGTCTGGATATAAAATGAGGAGCAGAATAGACCAAGCTCTTGCCCTCTTAGAGCTTATCATATAGTCAGGGAGGAAGCTAATAAATAGGCAAGCCAACACATAAATAAGTAATTCTACAATGCATGGTGCTATGAAGGAAATGTTTTGCTGCAGGAAGTGCAGAAACCTCAATAGGTGCCCTGGAAATGGCCACACCAAGAAGAGATACTTATTAAAGTGAAAGCTAATGGATGACAAGGATCCAGTCACTGAAAGCATAGAGGAAAAGCTCATTCCAGGCAAGGACAACAGCCTATAAGAAGGCCCTGGGAAGGGAAGAGTGTGACACATTTTATATACTAAAAGGAAGTCAGGGAGGTTGATTGCCTTGGGTTTTAGTCGCAACTCTTTTAACTTGTTTCTTGGCATGGGTCATGTCGACATCTTAATATTGGAGTACTCATATAATTGGTACTGAGTTTGTTAATGATGATGCGAAAATCTTACTGTATAAGTTAACTAGGTAAGTAGAAGTCAAGGCAATGAATACTGTCTTAATTATCCAGAATTTAAAAGGGACTGTGTATTAATATATGTTTATTTTTAAAAAAGTCAATGCTTTGAACTATTAAGAACTGTTAAGCTCAAAGGTGTGAATATTTTTGTAAATTATGATCTCTTGGTAATATAGCTAAGATATTAGTAAAGAAAAAAAATAAGTTCAAATTATAATGTCCATTTTCTCTGTAGTAAGAGGTACTAGTGCTGGTGATACATTAATTCTTATGATAAGATATTGAAAGGTGACCATAAGGTAGATCAAGTCCCATATTATAGTGTTCTGTAGCATATGAAAACAGGAGTGATATCATAGAGAACAGTCAAGTCCAGACTAGACAAGCATCTAAAGCAGTTTAAACGGCCAACATCTGAAGCTGTTCACCTTAGTAATTCAAAGCAACATTTAAAAAATTATATGTGTGTATGTATGTGTGGTGTGGATATGTAAGAAGTTATTTGACCCATCTGAGCCTTGAATCTGAAAGTTAAAATAATTTCATTATTAATATTTCAGGAGTTAATCATGAGCATTCTAATATATTGACCAACACCCTCCAAATGATTATATATATATATACTGCAAACTGTAAAGGAGAATTTCAGAAGCTCCCAATGGATTCTTATCCTTCCATCCTTTTATTTGTGATAGTAACACTTGCAGGTTGTGAAGATGATAATAGTTGCAAAACTTTGAAAACTTTCATGGGTTAAGCCTCTTACTGCCCCTGGGAAATCACAACATGCAATACAATTTCTATAGCATCTCTAACCATGTTCTGTGCTGGACAGACATTTAGCTCTATTTTAAGTTCTATTTAAAATCCACTTTTATATTTTAAAAAAAATAAATTTTTTTGAGCATCTAGAATGCAAGCACTCCAGTACAAGATTTTAGAGTATTAATAACTCTGCCAACTTGGACCTCATTCAAATCATTTTGAGACAGTTTGTGATTCTTTGGTTTATTATCTGTAGTTAGGCCATTCTCATCTCTTTATTTAAAAAGAAGTCATGTTTATTAGCATGTGCATACACATTAAAAAACCAAGTGTAAACCTATTTTAAGTTGCTCTAAATCTTGTAGTATCTTTTAAGAAATTTGAATGTTATGCATGCCATTTTTATTTGACTGAATATGGTAGATCTTAACTATGAACACATGAAATTGACTCCATTGTGTCTACATGGCATCTTCGACGTGAATGGAGATAAAACTGTATGGGGATTCTCTTTGAGAGGGGAGGCCGTTTTGAGGTTCTGTTTTATTTTGTTAACAGTAATGGTTCTGTGATTAGCATCCATCTTTTCTGGTGATGATATATGGGAAGAGTTAGCATTTAGTCTTCTGTAATGTTTTACTGGCATCTTTAGAGTGTTATAAAACAAGCATTTACTACTTAGTAGCTAAGCATTTGCCCCGCTCTGTCTCTGTAATTAACGTATTGATTTAAACGGAATCTATAGGATGAAGCTTATTGAGACAGACTGCCTGTGCCTGCGTCATTGCTACACTCCACACTTTTTCCGTAAATAAAATATGGACAAAACTGCAACATGTGGAGACTGAAGAATTCATTAAAGACTTTTGGCAACAGCACCTTAAAAATATTTCAAAATAATTGTGTTTTATCACTTCTCCTGTGCCATTGCTTGTAACGAGGGTTTTTAAAAGACTAAATACAGCTCTCTGATTTCCATTTAATGGAAGAAGTAATAAAGTTTAATTGTATACTTGAGCACAGGGCGTCACTTCCAGTACATCTGATCAATAATTCATTGATTGCCTTTGGCTCAAAGTAATATTTGAAAGAAAATGTAGCCAGTGGGTGTTTATCTAACAGCAGCTACATCATCTCTATTAATTATACTTTCCCCGAATTTGGATCATTAGGCGACCAAAGTGACAGCAGATGGCGAGCAAACTGGACAGGATGCTGAGAGGACCAACACAAGAGCAAACTCCTTAGGAGAATTCATTAAGGAACTTGTCCGGGATGCAGAAGGTATGGCAAAAGCCACAATGTAATCATTATTTCTCCCAACAGAAAGGAAGAAAGAAAGAGAGAGAGAGAGAGAGGGAGGGAGGGA